CCCAAGAGGCCAAAATGGGGCCACAACCCTAGTCAAATCAATGATTTTGGATTCCTCGCCGAGGCCGTTTGGGACGCTCTGACACCTCGCGCCCCCCCCCTCCAGGTCCACGGGAGGGGGTTGGGGGAGGGGTAAACCCTTCCCGAAGGGGAAGAAGGAGGGGTGGAAGAGGAAACGCCCTAAAACACCGACGCCCAGAGGGCTGTTGGGATTATTGCAGCTGTTTCGAACGAATGTGCGCGGCGCTAGTGCGATAGCCACATTTTGGAAACCGCCCGCCGCCAATCCGCAAAACTCTTTGCGAATGTGTGGAACGAATGTGCGCGGCGCTAAGGCGAAAATCACATGTTGAAAACCACCTGCCCTCCATCTGTGAAACTGCTGCCGATTTGTAAGCTTCAGGGTCATAAGTGGGTCTCAGACGAAACGCCCGGCCCGCCCTAAGAAATTGCTTATGGGTGCAACAGGGCTAGTTTTCGATAAGGGAAAAGAATTGATGAAGATGAGGAGGATGAGCACCCTCCAAGGTTCATTTCCATTGAGGGAACTGCCTCGTTTGGAGACAACAGTTTGAAGACCCTGATGCTTGCCACGAAACACAATTTTCGGGACCCCAACTTCACAGATCAATTCGACTGCTGCGTCTTGACGATCCTGAAACGTGCCAGAACACCATTCCTGGGACTTCCACACTACTGCGCACTGACAGCCCTGAATCCTTCAAACAAATCGCCATTTCTTGTACGCTGACCAGGCGAATCCATGAAACTCGCGCAGGTTTTCAAAACGAATGTGCGTGGCACTGAGGCGAAAGCCACAGTGTGAAAACGAACCGCCCTCAATCCGCGAAGCCCTTGCTTTTTTTTTGAGGCGACTGTGCGAGGCGCTCAGGCGAGAGCCACATTTTGAAAGACGAGCCGCCCTCAATCCGTGAAACGCTTGCAGATGTTACAAACGAATGTGCGCGGAGCTAAGGCGAGAGCTACATTTTGAAAACCGCCCGCCGTCAATCCGCGTAACTCTTTGAAAATGCGTGATACGAATGTGCTCGGCGCTGAGGCCAGAGCCTCATTTTGAAAACCACCCGCCCTCCATGTGCGAAACTCTTGCCAGTTTTTAGCTTCAGGGTCATAAGTGGTGAGAAAGTCTCAGGCGAAACGCCGGCCCGCCCTTTCGACCTGTCTCGGGGTGCGATAGGGGCGAGCAATGTTCAACGAAACGGAAATGAGGAGGAGGAGGAGGAGGAGGAGGAGGAGGGGGAGGAGGAGGAGGAGGGGGAGGAGGAGGAGGAGGAGGAGGCAGAGGAGCAGAGGAGGAGGAGGAGGAGGGCGGGAGGGGCCCCTGGAGGAGGAGGAGGAGGAGGAGGAGGAGGAGGAGGAGGAGGAGGAGGAGGCGGAGGAAGGCGGAGGAAGGCGGCCTCCGCTTGGTCGCAGAGACATCAAGGCCCTTCGATCGAGCGGGCCCGCCACCGTGAGGCGCGGAGCTTTAGCCCGCCCAGACATTGGGGCACGCGCAGGGGTTGCGGGGGCGAGGGCGGGAGGGAGAGGGGGGGGATCTAGGCCGCCCAGATGGGGTCCGAGCAGCTGGGGTCGAATGATCGCTCCGCGTCGCCGATGCATTGACGATGCGGCTCAGTGTGGAACCAGATGTTCTCCACGCCGATGGCGCCGATACATCGCCGACGTCGCTGGCGCATCGCCGATGCATCGCCGAGGAAGGCGATGCATCGGCGAAGCGGCGCGATCCTCCGACCCCATTGTATCGGACCCCATCTAGAAGACGGGCGGGAAGACAGGAGGGAGGGAGAGCAGTAAGGGTAAAAGGGGGGAGTGTGGCGCGGCATCGAGGGCGTCGGGGAGGAAGACGGGGGGCAGGGGAGGGACAGAATCGTTTCCGATACTCATCGATGCTCCTCGATCCTCCTTTTCGACCGTCGGTCACAGTCGATCCCCCATCGATCTTCGATCCTTCTCGATCCCCTCCGACCCTCGGAGGCCAAGGGGGGACGGAGGGGGGGCTCAAGGGGACGCGGGGGTACCGGCGCTGCTGGGGGCACTGATGCGTGTGGGGGCGGCGCGGGGTCCTGGGTCGTTCGTCCGTCGGAGCACGGGCGAGTTTCGCCGTGTCTCGAGGGAGGGTGGAGCAGGGGGCAACGCTAACATCCACCCCCAATCGCCCACTCATCGCTGAAAAGGGGCCCTGACAAGCCCGCTAAGCCCAGGAGCTGTCGGATTTGCCATCGGGGGCTTAACACGGATCAATCGGCGATGTATTGCCGATTCCAGGTCGACGTTTCTTGCCATGAGTTTGCCCCCTCCTAACGCTGCCCCACATGGTGGAAGGAGAGGAAGGCCCCCAGGCGGCGGGATTAGCAACGGTCGCCATGAGCGAACGGGGTCCTTACAGAAACGGATCCTGATTTTGTGCCGCAGTTTTCCGCCCTGGATGCCAAAAACGCGTTCAGGGTGATCTGTTGGCTCCAGAGAAACAACCCTGAGATCGAGGATCCGTCTCCCTCTGCGTGCCACAAAGGGAGACGAGGTTTGGGAGAGTTCAACCGCGACTCTGTCGGAGAGCGCGAGCATGCTTTGGCAGCTTATCTCCTCGGGCAACCAGAGTGGTGCGATTGCTTCCTTGCCTGAGGCAGCTGATTGTCCACTTCCAATGAGGAGGAGAAGGGGGAGGACGAGGAGGATGAGGAGAAAGAAGAGGAGGAGGGGTGAGAGGTGAGAAGGAGAAGGAACAAGAGAAGGAGAAGGAATAGGATGACAAAAAAGAGGAGGAGAAGGAGAAGTCAGGAAAGAGGAAAGAGGATCAAGACTGGCGATTGGCGGTGATGATATGAGCCTTCTGCATTCAGACCGAGGTTGTGCGGATGTGCATTTCCCGTCGCGGTTGCGAACAGAGTTCCAGCGGTCTGGAACCATTTTTTTTTTCAGGGCATACCTGATGATACATATTTCTGCTCGAGACAGGCCGCAATTCTCGACGTTTCGCGTATCCCCACCAGCCGGCCGGCTTGCGCCTGTCTTAGCTAATTCGCCTAGTTCGCGTCCCGGACTTTGCTCTTGCCGCCTGACCGTCGTCTCGCGGCCGCGACCGTAAAAATATCCCCACCAGCACGCCGTTGGCGCGGCTTGGGCTTGGCGCCCCACTGGCGACGGCCCATCGCTTACCACGTCTGGACACTCCGACGGCATGTTGGACGCGCCGCCCACAGCTATCGTCCTCATGCTCCTTCGGGTTTGCCACTCGGCAACTCTTGAATTCACCAGCATTTTGCCGTGTTGCAAGTGCTCGAGCACCCTGGACGCCCCCTGCTTGCAGCTCCTCCCGCGCAGTCAGCCGCTGCTGTATGAGTGGGCCGGCCGGCTTGCGGCGCGTCTAACTGCTAATTAGGCCGCTGTCGTGACCCGTAGCGCTCCTGACTCCGCTTGCGCCTTCGCTTGCGAACGCGACCGAAAAAATATCCCCACCAGCTCGTTTTGTCCAGCACTCGGCACGTGCGGTTGGTCCTTGGCCCCGGCTTCTGCTTGCCCGAGGTGCCCGTCCGTTAGTCATCACTTTGTGTGTCAGCCCTTGCGCGGTGCCCATTCGGGCCCGTGTTAAGTCAACCTGACACCATCTCTCGCACAGGTACGTGGTGGCCCGCGCCATTTTGGCCGCGTCGCGGCTATGCCGCTTCCCGTACTCGTGCGTACTGTTGCCTCGGGGTCTGTGGGCTTCCGCCACCCTGGGAGTTTCGCCTCCTGGCGTCAATTCCTTAGCCGACGGTCCTTTTGACCACCCTGGTTCTCGCACTTCGCCGACGTCTGGGGTTTCGCCTTTGCATTTTTTTTCCTGCCTCGACTGTCGGTTCGTTGGCCACGGCCACCCTGGTGCCCACGCAGTCGTCTGAGGTACGGTATCGTGCTTTCTCTCTCGGAGCTGTCCCTGGCCGTCGTTGACTTTCCGGCTTTCGGCGCTTCCGACGGACTTGCAGCCTTGCGCGCCGGCAGTTCCCCTCAGTTTCTGTCCCTTCAGCCTTCCACCTGCCGTGGGGCCGCTGCGTGTGGCCTCGGCTGGCGCGTAGCTGTTGCCTCGCGCGTCGCCTCTGCTTTATTTTCTCGCGTTTCCTCTGCCTAATTAGTCTCAGCGTAGCCCGCTTTGACCTGACTCGCCGCCGGCGTGCTCGCCCGCGGCCGCTGACAACAAAAAAGTATCCCCACCAGCCCATTCAGAAATGATGCCCATAAGAGTTGACGGGGGGAGAGAGGAAGAGGCACGCGTAGCCAAACAGCGAGGGAGATTTGGTAGGTTCCGTGGCCATATCGAGCCGTCTTGGGGCGGTTTTGGGGCCGTTTGTCGCATCTTGGGAGCCATCTTGAGCCAGCTTGGGCTATCTGAGCCATCTTGGAGGTCATCTTGGGCTCTCTGAAACCGCTCGGGGGCCTCTTGGGGGCCTTTCGGGTGCCTCTTGGAGGCCTCTTGGGGCTTCTTGGGGCGCTCTTTGGGGCCCTCTTGGGTCCCTCTTGGGAGCCCTGGAGGCCCTCTTGAGGTCATATTGGAGGCTATCGATCAAAAGAGGGGGTTCTTTTATCTCCGCCCCCCCCCCATCGGGGGCCACGATCCTCGTGAAGGGTGGCTAAACATTGCCCCCCCGTGAACCGAAAATGGACGCTCTAACTCGTCGCGACCCCCTCCCAGAAATTAGGGGAGGGAGGGGGGGGGGTCCCCTCCCCGAAGGGAAGGGGTTGAGGAAGAGGAAAGAGACCCTCCGTAGACCACTGTCGCCCAAAGGGCTGGTGGGATTCTAGGTGGTGGTTTATGGCAGCAGGGTGTCGGCATTAGTGAAGATAGCGATGATAAGAAAAGGCCGCCACGGTTCTGAAACGATAAGGGGGCGATGTGTCGATGATGAGTACGGGGATGATGGGACAGCCGATGGCGATGATGGGTAGGACGAAGACGAGGTTTATCGGAAGGGGGTGGACGAGGACGACGAGGATTCCCCTGCGTGCCGAGAATCGTATTTTTGGCTCTGTGGCTGGGCCAGGTCGCGGCGCGCCCGCGCGGGCGTGGAAGGGCCAGGGCCATGCTCAAGAAGCGCATCGGCTTCGTCGGTGGTGGCATGATGGCCGAGGCCATGCTCGGGGGCCTGCTGAAGGCCCCGTGGAGTGGCACGCGAGGTTGCGCGGGCGCAGGCAGACAGGGCCAGGCCCACAATGCCACGCTGATGTTTGCATGCGCGTGCATGCTGTAGACGCGCACGCATGCAGGTCAGCAGGGCTGCGTCAGCGCGCGGCCAGATCTACGCCCACATTCTTCAGTCATGCCCGCCCGCACTCGCATAGAGTCACCTACGTTCACCTACACGTTCTTACACATGCACATCTTCGCGTGTCGGCGCAGAACTCGGGTTGGCGATCTCTGGGAACCGTTCAGAAGGCTTCGACATATGACAGGTCTCACCCACACGCTGCACATGGCTGTAGCATGGCATGCTCTGTTTCGCAGCCTCGGAAAAGGCAGTAAAATGCGGTCGTTGATCTTCAGCGGTGACACGTGACACATCTCTTCCACAGATCCCGGCGGCCCATCACATAGCATTTGTTGTTTTCCCAGTGGAGAGGAGGCTGTAACACATGTCGTTCGTTCCTCCGAGTTATTGGGCCGCACCATGTGGCATCTGGGGGCATTCGTCATCACTATGGTCAGCGTGGTTTGTGTTGCCCTCAAACTCCACCCTTGCCCCTTCCACCCCAGGGTCCCCGTCTTTTCCGCTCCTCCTCCCCCCCCCACAGCTTTCTCCTCCCTTCCATCTTCCTCCCGTCCACGCCTGTCCCCGCGGGGGCAAACTGATGCGGCGGGGGAGGTTGAGGAGAAGAAGCGCGAGGACAAGCAGAATAACACGGAGGAAGACAGGGAAGCGGGAGGAAGATTAGGGGGACTATGATGAGCCAGTAGGAAGGAGGGAGGATGAGGGGTTGTTCGAACGTGCTGGTTCGCACACGTGGTTTTTGCTACGGCAGCGTTGTTCGCAAGGACCTTATCAGGGAGCTCATTTCAAGATTGCGGGCTCGCATTCGGCGATCATCCCATTGCCAGCGGTGCTCTCAGCAAGCTCAGTCCGAGCTTGCGGGCTCGCTTCCAGGACGCACTCACGGCGGTGCGAACGGTACACTTTGACCAGGCGTTTTACTATCAATAATTGCTTCAGATTCGGTACTTTTCCCGTTCCATTCCATCGCACGGGGCCCCGGGGCCCAAACATACACCACCACCACCACCACCTCCACCACCACCACCACCACGACCACCACCACCACCACCACCACCACCACCACCACCATCACCACCACCACCTTCCACCACCACCACCACCACCACCACCACCACAACCACCACCACCACCACCACTACCTTCCACCACCTTCCACCCCCTTCCACCACCCTCCACCACCCTCCACCACCCTCCACATCCACCACCAACACCACCATCACCACCATCACCACCACCACCTTCCACCACCACCACCACTACTACCACCACCAACACCACCATCACCACCACCATCACCACCACCTTCCACCTCCTCCACCACCACCACCACCACCCTCACCCTCACCCTTTCCCTTTTCCGGGAGAGAGGAGAGGAAGATGAGGGTCGAGGAGGAAGGAGGAATGGATGTAGTGGTGGTAGTGTATATTCTTCTGACCCGCAAACGTGCTGGCTCGTGTCGAGTGCACCTCGCGCTGCCAGTGCTGCTGCCAGTGCGCGCGCGCCAGCCGTGTCCGTATCGAAAGTACCCAGCGTTCCCAGCGGGCGGCTCATTCTAGGCGTGTTTGCTCACATTTGTTTGGAGCACTTGGCACTGTCACGGGTCGGGTCTTGCTAGAAGTGCCCCTGGCCCAGGGTGCCCCCAGGATTTCCAAGCAGGCCCCCACGGCCTCCAGAGCATCCCTCACGAGGCCCAGAGGGTCCCAGGGGCTCCGACATGTACCGGAAAAGCTGGGGGCCCTTTTGGGCCAGGGGAGATGGAGAAAGTTGGTTCCAGGCGGACCTGTCCGCGTCCTGTGATCATGCCGCTGCCAGGGAGCCCACTCCGAGCGTGCGGGCTCATTTCTGGCGTGCACTCCCTTGCCTGACAGGGTTGGTCGGGGTTGGCTGGGGCGGTGGTCGGGGTAATTCTTGGGCAATTATTTTCGTAAGGCTTGGTGTTCCTTGACCTGCTCAACCTTGATATTTTTGCTCATGGGGCCCACTTGGTCCTCACCACCTCAGTGGTGCACAGTGCACGACCAGGGCCCATGTATTCACGATGATATCGGAGGGAGCAGGGGAAATTGGGAGGCAGGAGGGAGGACGGAAGAAGAGAGAGGCTGTACGATGCGTATCGGAGGGGCTCGATGTATACATCACGTCGTTTGGCCGGTCATGGAGCCGAGGAGTTCGGCAAAGGAGCTCGTGCACAGACGCTCCAGCGTCCCACAGCTGGTTCAGCTAGGGCGTCTATACACCAGGCTACTTGGCCGACCAAGCGACGTGGTGTGTACATCGAGACCCTCCCACGGGAGGAGGAGGAGGAGCACCCAGGAGCAGAAATGGGTGGGGTCGGCCCTTGAATGGCACGTGCCTGTCCTCCTTGCAGAGGTCCACCTCGTTTCTTAAAGGTTGCCGCGGCTGCCACCCGCCAGGCTGACCTGCCAGCCGACAACGTTCTGGTCAGCGAGCCTGACGCCAAACGCCGCAAGTACATGGCGGACACGTACAAGGCAGATCGCCATCGAGTCGCGTCTCTTTCTCCGTCCACCTCCCCTTTCCCTCGGATGGGCAGAGAGGATCGGGGGGGGAGGGAAGATGACGGGGAGTCGGGATGTGGGGGGGGGGCGGAATTGAAGGAGGAAGGGGAAGAGGAGGGGAAGGAGGGTAGGCGTGGGAGATGATCAGGATGAGGGAGGACACAGGAGAGACGGCGACGAGGAGGGAAAGGAGAGGAGAATGTGCGCCCGCTCCCTCGAACCGAGAATCGAACCTGGCGCAGCTCCAATCAGGAGTGCTTTTCTTTCGAAGTGCAGCTACCATGCAAGACCATGATTTGCTACGCAATGATTAGTAACGCATTCTAATCGAAGACTCCTACGGCGAAATACTGTCGCCCCCTGCCTTTTGGAATCGTCCATGTGGCCGAGTGTTGTGGCAAGAGCTCTGCCAAGATATCTGACCATGTGTTCCCCCAACCGTTGCGGAAAACTCTTAGGGGAAAACTTTGGGGAGGATGGCGGGGAAAATCTGGAGGAGGAGGAAGAGGAGGAGGAGAAGGACAATTCAATCAGTCGATTGCGACATTATTCAACGCAGACTGAAGTATTGCGCCCGTTTGGCACGGTCGGACGCGGGCCCCCTAGAGTCATGCTGTCCCTCCGGGATGAGCAGGGGTGCCCCCGGCTGCCATGGGCGAGGCTGATTGCTGCGGACATGTTGCTTCTCTATAATAATGCGCCTGCCGTCCGCAACGTGCTGCCATCACCTCCCGTGGACGCTGAGGCGTGGTGTGGGTTTATGGTGCACCGCCCAGACGAGTGGAGGGAACTCGTCGGCCAGCTGCGTTTCGCCGAATCGGTCTGTGACAAGCATCGGCCTGCGAGTGCGGGGCCAGTGAATGTTGGCAACTTCATTTGCCACGAGTGTCATGGGCATGCCTTTGGCACGTCCCAAGCGTACCTCAACCACATGAGGTCCAAGCACGGCGCTCACAACCCGATGCGGCTGTTCGCACGTGCTGGCGCGACGTGCCCCTCATGTCACACGAAATTCTCCACTAGACTTCGGTTGACCGCGCATTTGTCGAGAGCCGGCGAAGGACCGATCCGGTGCAGAGATTGGTGTGTTGCCAATTGTCACCCCATGTCGCAGGAAGAAACTGACGCGTTGGATGCACTGGATTCCCGAGAAAGGAGGCTCCAGCCGTCAGACCTGATGGCCGGAGAGTGGGACGGGTGTTTTTGTAATTGTATTGTGTTCATTTCTTTAGCGTCGCTTGCAGCATACCGCCGGCAAAAAGGAGGAGGACGAGGAGGAGGAGGAGTGTAAAACCAAGACTCAGCAATGATTTTGAAATAAACTCTCCCTCCAAGCTCCCTCTTCATAGGCCCCCGCAAGGATTCATTACCACTGAGGGAGGTGCCCCGTTGGGAGACAACCGTTTGGGGATTCTGAAGCGTGCCTAAGCACCAGTCTCGGGGCTCCCACGCCACGAATCTGCTTGACTGTTGCGCCTTGACGATCCTGAATAATCGTGCCAGAACACTATTTCTTGGTCTTCAACGCCGCACATCAAGGTAACTGTTGCGCCCTGGCAATCCTGAATCATTCCAGCAGGTAATTCCTGGTACGAGGACCATGAGAACCCGTGAAACTCTTGCAACTGTTGAAGACGAATTTGCGCGGCGCTCAGGCGCGAGTCACATGTTGAACAGAAACCTCCCTAAATCAGTGAAGCTCTCTCAGGTTTTCAAAACGAATGTGCGCGGCGCTCAGGCGAGAACCACACTTTCAAAACCGCTCACCCTCGATCTGCGACATTCTCTGCAAATGTTTAAAACGAGTGTGCGCGGCGCTCAGGCGAGAGCCTTATTTTGAAAACCGCCCGCCCTAAATCCGTAAAACACCCTTGCAAATGTTTTAAAAGAGTGTGCGCGCCGCTAAGGCGAACGTTACATTTTGGAAGTGGCTCGCCCTCCATGTAGCGGTTGCCAATCTTTGCAAACTTCGGGATCACAAGTGGCATTGACGTCGCAGGTGAAATGCCCGGCCCGCCCTTGAGACTGGCCACGGGGTGCGACAGGGATTAGTTATTTACAATGGAAACAGGAAAGGAGGAGGAGGAGGAGGAGGAGGAGGAGGAGGAGGAGGAGGAGGAGGGAAGGCCAAAAGAGCCCTGCCGGCGTGATCTTGTTTCGCATCGCGGTGCACCTGGGGGCCCTGGACCCCTTCCCTGGGAGCGGCTTTTCATTTCCCGAGCAAGTTTGGCTCCCCAGGGCCTGGCTGGAGCCCCCAGAGGCCGAAAATTGCCGCCGAACAGACGCAGTTCTGTTGGTTGGGTTAGGCAGGAGGAGAAGGAGGGGCACGACGACGTCGGCTTCGTCGAGTGCGGCACGCAGCGGCTGCGCTGCGCGTCGCGCGCGCGCGTGCTTCTGCGCCGGGCCTGGTCGCGATCGCCGAGGTGAGCGTGAGAGACTTCAACCACGAGGTGTGTGCCGCCTCGGACGTGGTGGCCGTGGGGGCGAGTTGCCAAGGAGGAGTGGGGAGGGAGATGAAGGATGGGAGGAAGGGCGGATGGGGGAGGGGTAGGAGGAGGTGCGAGGTAGCGGGAGCGGGGGGAGGAGTAGGAGGGGAAGGAGGAGGGGGAGGAGGAGGAGATGGAGGAGATGCAGGAGGTGGATGATATTGTTGATCTGGATGATGTTGCTGCTGCTGATAATGATGAGGATGAGGATGAGGATCATGACGATGTTGATGATGATGATGGTGATGGTGATGGTGATGATGGTGATGGTGGTGATGATGATGATGGTGATGCTGATGATGATGAATGATGGTAAGGAACAGGAATATCATGCCGATCAGGATTATTATGCTGATGATGCTGCTGCTGGTGATGATGGTGGTATCGATGATGACGATGCTGCTAATGATGATGCTGCTGATGATGATGATGCTGACCATGATGCTGATGTCACAGATGACGACGACGATGGCGGATGACGATGACGATGATGTCGATGATGGTGGTGGTGGTGATGATGTCGATTATGCGGATGATGCTTGATTCATTGCTTGACTGATCGACCGCATGAATTATTGTTTGATCCATACATTGAGTAATGTATTGATTGTTTGCTTTGGTTATTGATTGATCTGTTGATGGCATGATGGCTTGTGTTGTTGATGCTGACGATTGATGCTGATACTGATGTTTGTTGATGTGGAGGATGCGGAGGAGGAGGAGGAAGATCAGGAGGAGGAGGAGGAGGAGGATGAAGAGGAGGAAGAGGAGGATAATGAGCCAGAGGAGGATGAGGGTGGAGTGGAGGGAGTGGGGGGAGGGATGGACGAGGGAGGAGGGATGGAAATGACAACGACGAGGAGGACCAGGAGGGGGTCTCCCTCTTTTTCCTTGTCCTCTTCGTCCTCCTGGTTCCCCTCGTGCTCCTCGTCGTCCTCCTGCTCGCTCGGAAGGGCGCCCACCCTGCACCCTCGGGAGCACCCCAAGGTGGTCATGGCTGTCAAGCCCCAGGTGCTGGACACGGTGCTGGCGGACCTGCGTGACCGTGCGGCGCAGGACCCCAAGGCGGGGGCGCGCGGGCCCAGTGGAGGCCTTCGAGGCCCCGAGGGCCGTCGAGGCCTCTGGAGGCCTTCCACGGCTCAGGAGGGCCTTCGAAGATCCTCGCGGGGCTTCGGAGGCCTCTTCTGGAGGGTGCCCGCCGAGTCCCTCTGGCGTCCCCTGGATCTCTTTCCAGAGGCGTCGGAGGGCTCCAGGGGAGGGAGGGGGACGCGCAGGAGGAGGAGGAGGAGGAGGAGGAGGCGGAGGAGGAGGAGATTTTCGAGGAGGAGGAGGAGGAGGAGAGTTTGGAGGAGGAGGAGGAGGAGGAGGAGGAGGGCGAAGGATTCTCCCCTCTCCAAGACATCCCCCAGTCCTGTCCTAAAGGGGCGACCTGGCCAGAATTTCGAGGGGGTCCAGGCGTGCGTGCCCCTCGAAATTCTGATCAGAACGCACCCTGGGAGAGATCTGGGGAGAGCGGTATCGGTACCTTTCGGTTTGCCCAGTGTTGACTGCGACTGTCAACGGTGTCATCTGAGCCGTGGCGTTCAGTCCCAAGCAACGAGCCATTTTGAGCACCATCGCAGCTCGATCTCCCCTCCTCGCTCGAGAGGTCCATGTAGGTCATCAGACGGCCTGGAGGTTTGTATGCCTCTGGAAGTCTTCGGAGGCCCAGAGACAGCGCCGCATTGCGCCCAGAAGCTTCGATTGAGGATCGAGGGGGGGAGGAGTTGGAGGACCGACAGAGTACCAATTATATTTTCGGCACGTGTTAGGCCACTTCCTTTCGGGCCGCCCCAAGGGTGCCGGAGAGGACGGCCTCGGAGGATCGCACCGCATCGCCGACGCATCGGCGATGCGGCGCGGTGGGGAGCCCGATGTACTCCATCCCGACGTGGCCGATGCATCGCCGATGCATCGCCGATGCGGTGCGATCCTCCGACACCAGCTGCCCTGACTGCATTTGGGCGGCCTCCATCTCTGGATCACCGGAGGATTCCGGGGGCCAGGGAACTCTTGGGGACCTGCTGAGTCCTCCACAGGGCTTGCCCCCACTAGTCACTAGTTGTCGTCGTCGTCGTCGTCGTCGTCGTCGTCGTCGTCGTCGTGTGCGCCGAGGTGGCCGACTGCCTCATCATCTCCATCGTTGCAGGCGCGGGCCTCCTCCCCCGCGTCCGCGTGCTCCTGCTCGTCCTGCTCCTGCTCCCCCTGCTGCAGCGCCGCGCAGGGGGGGCGCCCCGTGGCGCTCAGAAGGGGCCCGTGGCAGGGAGGCTGGGAGGCCGGTTTCTGCACCAGTCTCGGGGGCAACTTGGGGGGGAGGGGTAGGCTCAGAGGGGGACGCATCGACCCCCGATCGCCCAGTGAACGTCGGGGGGGCCCGGTAGCCCACCCCGCCCAGGACCGAGCGGTCTTGCTGTCTGGGGCCTAGCGCTGATCTATCGGCGATCTATCGGCGATGCAGCGATGTGTCGGCGATGATCCAGGCGCGATGCATGTTCCCGCCCCCCTGGGCCAGTCCCCCCGTTGTCGTTGCCCCTAACAGCCTCTCGCTTCTCCTGCCCCTCCTCTCGAGCTCTCCTTTCCCATCCCTTTTTCGTGGGGGTGCTGGTGGGTGCTTCTCGAGGCAAGGTTGGGCCATCTTGGCGGCAGTTGTGGACTCTCTGCACCGCCTTGGAACTCTTGGAGAGCCTTGGAGAGAGCCGGAAGCCTCGGGAGGGGGGGAGGGCCCGCCAGGCCACCCCCGAGCTCGGTGAAACTGGTGCCGGATGGAGCCAAGCACGGGGTGGGAGCAAGAGGAGGAGGAGGGGGAGGGGTAGTTGGAAGATGAGGGGGGAAGGAGGAGGATGAGGAGTGTGGCCAATCTTGGACTGTTGCACTGTGGAACATGGCCTAGGAGGGCCAGGAATGGAGCGGGGCGCTGGCTCGGCAAGCACATTCTCGCCAGCCTGGAGAGTCATGAAGAAGAGGAGGGAGTAGGATGGAGGAGGAGGTGGAGTGGGATGATGATGATGAGGAGGAGGAGGAAGAATAGGAAGGACGAGGAGGGGGGGAAGACGAGATGAGAGGAAGAGGATACGGATGTGGAGGCAGGAATGGGGAGGAGAAACATGAGTAGGATGGAAAGGAGGAGGAGAAGGAGGAACAGGTGTCAGGAGGAATGCAGGAGGAGAAGTGGGTGAAAGTGTTTTCCCCGTGGGAGAGTGTGAGGGGAGGGAGAGGGGAATACAATACCTATACGACCACCCTTCGGGTGATAAGGAGGTTGTGGGGCGGGGAAGAAAGGGGGGGAACCAACATCTGACTCAATCGATCTCATTATTGATCTCACTCAACGGGACACCACGGGACACCACGGGACAATTGTCGATCTCATTATCGATCGCACTATCGATCTCACTCAACGGGACACCACGGAACACCAGGGGCCACCACGGGACACCGCGGGACATCTCTCGATCTCACTATCGGTCTTACTATCAATCTCACGATCGATCTCACTCAGCGGGACACCATAGGACACCACGGGACACCTCGGGACACCACATCGATCTCATTATCGATATCACTATCGATCTCACTCAAAGGGACACCACGGAACACCGACGGGACACCGGCGGGACACCGGCGGGACACCAGCGGGACACCGGCGGGACACCGCGGGCCACCGGCCGCCGGACGAGCAACATTTGGTCCGGCCGCGGCCCAGCCACAGGAGGATTTCGGGACACCAGCGGGACACTGGCGGGACACCGCGGGCCACCGGCCGCCGGAGGAGAAACATTTGGTCCGGCCGCGGCTGGGCGGCCCGCCCACGCAGCTTCGCCTTGCCCGCACGCACGCACGGCACTCACGACACGAACCCGAAACCGAAGTCGATTTCCTGGTATGGGGGGGTCTCCGTTTCACGTCGGACTCACCCCCCAATCTCTGATTTTGACGCTTCGCGTATCCCCACCAGCCCATCCTGAAAAGCATCACCAGGCGAGTTGCCTTGATCAGGAAAGTGCAGAAGCATGCAGCGTAACAACCTCCTGGGAGGTGGTCTCTCGGAGGTCTCTTGGAACCGTCTTGGGTCTCTCTAAGGGTCCTCGCGCAGCCACTTGGGGCCTTCTTGGGGTTCTTTTTTGGGGTCTTTGGGGGGGGTCTGGGGGGTCTCTTTGGGCCGTCTTTGGCCCCATGGCTCAAGAAGAGGGGGGGGAGGTAGATTCAGGTCCCCCCCCTCGGAGGATCGAGCATGATGTCTTGAGGCCCTCTTAGGGCGCTCTTGGGGCGCTCTTGGGCGCTGTTGTGGCCCTGTTGGGCCCCTCGTGGGGCTCCCTTGGGCCGTCTTGGCGCACTCTTGAGGCCTCACGAGCCCATCGGAAGCGAACAGGCGAGAAGGAACAACACATTCATTGCTCTTAGGTTCTTGAATGATTTTGGCTTCTTGGGGGGGTCTTTGGAGAGCTCGGATGGCATTTGAAACTGTCTTGGGGCCGCCTTAAGGCCTCTTGGATGTGTTGGAGGCTATCTTGAACCATCCTGAGGTGTCTTGAGCTATATTGGAGGCCATCTTGGGCTCTCGGATGCCCTCTTGGAGCCATCTTGGGCCATCTTGGATGCTGCAACCCATCCGTCCCCATCCCGTCTCCAAGGCCTAGGGGATGGGGGTAGGGGGAGGGCAGAGGAAGGAGGGTTGTGGGAAGAGAAAAAACCAGAGTTCGTTAAACCAGCTACGCCCAGAAAGTTAGTGGGACTCGCAGGAAGAGTATGAGGGGAACGGGGAGAGGAGGACGAATAGAAGAAGGATATTGGTGGAAGAGGTCGACGAGGTTGACTAGGAAGACGAGGACGAGAAGGCAGATGAGAAGGAATGTGATCGGGAGCGGGCGAGGGGGAGGTCGAGAGCGAAGTGTACGGAGACGCTGGGGTGGAATGGGGTGTGAAGGTGAGCAGGTTCAAGCTCAGGCGCTAGGAGGCCACAGCAGAGAATCTCGGGCATTAGGGAACCCCTGCGGAGTGGTGTGGAAATCGTGGCCACTCGCCAGACGTTCAAGGCCTGCCTGCCGCGCCCGCGGGCTGGATGTCGTCCAGACCGCATTGTGGCCTCAGCGAGGGAGATGCGGCCACACTTGGTCTGAAAGATGCGCCTCTGAAGCAGGGCCCCCATGCATACCTCGGTCTTGGTCACGCCCGCCAGGCTCGTGCTTCCAGGGCTCAGGGGCAAATTCTCTGGGCTCGGCGCGCCCTGGGTGCCCTGCGTCCTGGTGCTGCGTCCTCGTGACCGGCTCTGGCGGTGCCCTTTCGCCCCCGCGATGGTTTGAGAAAGGGGTCGGGGGCCGGGTGATGCCAAAGGCGCCTTTGGCCCAAGGTGCCCCCAGGGGTGTCCAGGCACGCCCCCCGCTCCTCCTCCTCCCTAACCCCTAAGGGTCTTTAGACCCCCCCTAAGAGGGGGTGCTTCTATAGGAGGAAAGGGAGGATTGGGGAGAGGCGGGAGGAGGAGGAGGTGGAAGAGGAGGAGGAGGAGGAAGAAACCATCTTCGACACACACATATTTATAGTATATAATTATATACAAACAAGAGAGGGAGAAATAGAAAACGAGAGAGAGAGAGAGAGAAAGAGAGAGAGAGAGAGAAGCACAGCGCGTCGGCTGTTCGAGGCTGTTCATTGATGTGGAAGTCCTGTACGCCGTGCGGGGAGACGCGGCGGGCTTGGCCGCGGCCGCCGGCCGTGACGGCGCAGTGGCTGCCGCAGCGGAGGCGAACAAGAGGCAACGGTACCCCGAAGGCCGTTGCCCTTGGCCGGTGCTCCGTTTGGCCTTCGAGCCAGGAGGGCGCCACGGCAGGGCCGCCTTGCGCCACCTCTGGCAGCTGGCGCGCGACCAAAAGCAGTTTATCGACGAGGACGCGGCGGGGGCGGTCTGCGGCGCTCTCCGCCAGCGCTGAGGCGCAGAGTTGTCCGTGGCTTTGCGCAAGGCAGCGGCCTGGCAGCTCCGGAGCAGCGCAGGCAGCCGCGAGGGCGCGGCGGCTTTGCGCGAGGCAGGGGCCGCTTGAGGCCGCGATGTGTAATTTGTATTTGTGCGGGGCCCGCGGGCTGACTCTTGCCCTGCTGCTGCCTGCTGGCCCGCATTTGTCCCTTCCCTTTTTGTTGCCAGGAGGTGGAGGAGGAGGAGGGGGAGGAGGAGGAGGAGGAGGAGGAGGAGGAGGAGCAGGAGGAGGAGGAGCAGGAGGAGGAGGAGGAGGAGCAGGGGAGAGCTTTAGGCCCAGTCCTATTCACCGCCGAGTGAAAAGCAGGGGGTAGTAATTGAAAAAACCCTTCGAGTTTACTTGGTGTGCCCACTTCGCCCACGTGCATCCCGCGCCTGTTTCCGAACGCGGCGAGGATCTTCGCCGCTGCGGCCCAAAATGTCCAAACAGTGCCCCCCGCGGCTTCCGGAGCACCCGCCACGAGGCCGGAAGGCCAGGGCCCCCCCCCCCTCGAAGGTCTCCCAGTCAGCAGGCAAAATTTGGCCGCGCTGGCAACGGGCGGAGGAGGACGTCGCCCGCAGGCGATCCCCCCCCCCCCCCCCCGCCCCCGCCCCCCCGAATTTTCGTCAACGAAAAATGAGGCCAGGGGAGCCCTGGGATTCACCCCCGGGGGTTATTATTCGGACGCATCCCCATCGAGGATGGGCGCCATCCCAGGGTTGGGCCACGAATTTCTGGTCCATTCGAAACCCACGAAACCCGGGATAGGGGTCGACATATCCTCTATTAGACGCTGGCCCAGGGGTCTCCGGCTGCTCCTCCGACAAGCAGACATCACAATGGCAGGATACCCCCCCACTTGCATGCAACAAAAAACAACACCCCTCGTATTTTTCAGCGGCGGTCGGTTTATACAGGGGGGGGTCCACTGCCACCAAACGTGCGAGCAAACTGTGCCCACAATTCACTGGTGTATGCCGACTTCGGTAGTAGGACAGAACACGGCGGTCCGTTTGCCCAGGCGGGGGTGCCCTGCGTTGCCTTCAGGCCCCATAGGGGCCCCAGCATGGTGCGACGGGCTGGGGGCACCCTGGGCCAGTGCCACCTCTGGCAGCGCAGCCGCCCCCGAGGCAGCGGATGGGTCCGCTGCCTGCGTGCAGCGGCCCCCCCCCCCGGATTGAGCGAACGGCGGCGGCCTCCGACATCCGCCGCGCACGCCGCTCTCCTGGGGCCCAGCCGAATGCCGAGCACCGACGACGCGAGCACGCACGATTGCCAATGCAGCCAGCTCGTGTCCCTGATTCCACGTGCCGGACTGTAGAATCCGAGCAGCCCTGTGCGCGATCAGACGCCATCTATTGGCATTCGGCGCGGGCCTCTTTCTGGGCCTCCCAAATGGGGTCGCAGCACATGAGGGTGGAGGATTCCGCCGCATCGTGGATGAACAGGCGATGCGGCTTGACGTGGATCCCAGCATTGTTCATGCCGGTGTCGCCGATGCGCCGCCGACGTCGCCGATGTATTGCCGATGCGTAAGCAATGCATCTGCAATGCGGCCGCGAGCCTCCGACCGCATCGGCTCTGCCCCCATCTGGGAGGCCTCTACTTTTTTCGGGTTTCTTGGGGGCGTTTTGTGTGTCCCTTGGGACCCCGTCCGCTCGCCTGCGGTTGCGACCAGAAAAATTGTCGCTGGGGGCCCCTCGGGGGCCTCGGTGGGAATACGTGACGCTTCTGAGGGGCCTGCTGGTGGTTTCGGGGGTTGTGTTGGGGAGTGGGAAGGGCTCCGAATCTCAGTTCGAGTTCCCCCGTTGGGCCCCCTCCCTACTCCTCCCTCGTCTCCCTTCTTGCTGTCCATTCGTATCCGATCATTCCTCTCCTTTGCCAGCGTCCGATCTATTGAGCCCTGCTGGGTCCTTGTTCTGTCGGCGGGGCCACGTCGCCCTATCGAAGAAAAGGACGAGGAGGAAGGATAGATTGTGTGGAGGGGAAAACGGAGCCAGGAGGATGGAGGAGGGGAACGGGGGGGAACAGGAAACGGAGGAAGGAGGAGGCAGGGTCGGCCATGGGTTGTGGGTTCGTGGTCAAGGGTTACGGGCAGCGCTTCGGCAAAGGTAAATCCTGGCTTGTTCAAGGGTTGGTTGCCCCAAGACCCTGAATCGATTGCAACGTACATGCTGACTACTTTCTACTTATCCTTCCTCCACATCCTATATATCCCTTTTACACCCTCAGGCAAGACACTGGCAAACTACGCGAAGTACCTCGGCATCACCCGTGTGGCGCGCGTCATGCCCAACACGCCGTCCCTGGTCGGCTGTGGAGCGTCGTGCTACGTGCTAAATGACAAGTGCCCTCCAGAGGACCGCAGAGCCTCCCGTCCCCCCTCCCGAGATCGCATGTGCAGAGCGCGTCGCGCACCTCTGCTTGCGCCCGCGGGCGTACCAGCAAGCAGGAGCCCCCTTGCCTCCTCACTCGCTAGCGTCAAGTCGGGCATGTCCCTCTGCAGGAACAGCATTCAAGGCTAATCCAAACATAGCCTGATGTGTTAGGTATTGTTGTCGGATGCTTTTTATTTTCTTCTAAGATCCGCCTGTAGGAGGACACGCCCGATCTAGCCCTCGTGCGCTACAGCATGTCATTGGCCCGCTGGGCTCGCGAATTTGTCGGCCCCAAGCCCACATATGCGATGGTGAGAGATCTTGGGGCACATCACCCCGCGTTGCCCCTCTTGTAGTCGACGGTTAGCTCTGTGAATTGCTGCGCCAGCGACTGTGCATTTCGGCCACCAGATCACGTGTGCTCTGGCTCAGACTTGCGTCAGACCGACGCGCGCGCCTAAGAGCTCGCTCGCGCGCGCGCATGTTTGCATCACCTCGTTCACGTGTGCGTGATCGCGTGCGTGCGAGCACAAGGTCGTGTTGCGCACCCTTCACGGCAGGCGTGGGGTTCGTCTTCCGCGCCCCGCATTTGTGAGCCCGTCGGGATCCACGTTGGTGGCAGGGAGAAGGAACGTGTAAGCACAGCTACGGTAGGTTCGGGTTGCGTCGTCTCGGCGGCGACGCCAGCGCGGGCATTCAAGTTTGAAGGCCACTGGTGGCCTTGGCTCGGCCAGTGTTGAACGATTTCGATTGTTAGAGAGCCACGGTCGTAGAAGTTTGAGCGGTCCGCGCGGCGTTAGCAAACAGCGCCTTGGCCGTGACGGTTCGCGTGGACTTGCCCCCAGTCTGGCGGCTCGCAGCAGGCCGTGAGTTTTGCTGGGCCCCGCCAGAGTCCGCGCGCAGAGTCAGAGGAGGAAATTGCCTCTCCCCTTTGGGGCCTCCTGGGAGGCCCTCGTCACCACCGCTGGATTCGCCCCGAGATCCTGGGCAGAACGCACCCCAGGAGAGGGCCAGGGGGTAGCCGTATCGGTACCTGTTATGGTGTCCCCACAGGACGCGGCCACGGTGGAGGCCGTGATGGGCTCTTGCGGCATCGTGGAGCTCCGCCCTTCTGCTGCTGGGCGGCTCTCCCCTTTCCGATCGGTTACAGTCGAAGCCGACGCTTGGGGTGAGCTTTCGAAGCCAGGTCGGGCAGGCCCAAGAAGGATGAGGACACTTGCTCCAGAACGCTCCCAAAGCGTCCCAGAGCACTCTGAAGCGGTCGCGGCGCCCGATACACTCTCCAGACCCGCCGGCCTTCAGAGATCCTGCCAGCCAGTTCTCATCCAAATTCGTCCTCATCTTGCCTTTCTTTACAAGGGGCCCTTGCATCCCTCGATTTGGGGCATGATTACCTTGCATGGCTTCTGCTTCCCCGGTCCAAGCGTACCCTGGCACTTTGGCGCCTTCTTCCCCACTGCTGCCAGGGGTGGCACAACAAGCGTTGTTGCCAGAAAGCTCCTCCGAGCGCATCTTCTCGTTCGCGGGATACAACGCGAAGCCAGCGATGTTGCTTGAAAGGTCACTCCAAGCGCAGCCGTGCGCTCGGCACATGTCGCTGCCTGCGTCATATTGCCAGGAAGTTCGTTCCAGGCGTAACCGCTTGCTCCAGCGCAGAGCGCACCGCGTCGCCAGCACTGCCAGCCTGGCCTGAATGTTTGATGGCGTCGCACAAGCCCTCATCCGATGTCAGGGCCGTTTCGTCCTTAGAGGCCCTGTGTCCTGCAGGTGCAGCCCAGCTCACCCAGCCTGGCCCATCTAGTCAGTTCAGCGAGCACAGCCCCACTTTTGTGGTTTCGGCGGCCTTCCAAAGCTCTCCCCGCAGCCAACAGCCAGCAGCCAGCCAGCCCGACCAGCTTTGTTAGCAAAACCCGTCCAACTGGTCCACCAGCACGGTCCCAACTATTTGAGTGGCCTCCGGCCCGTGCGCCCGATCCGGGGCGCTCGTGCTGTTGTTGGGAATGGCCTCAAGTGCTGATGAAGACGCTCACGACGACGACGATCACAACGTTCACGACGACGACAACCGACGAACGTCGATTGAGATCGACGACGACAGACGATGACTGACGATAGCAACGACGACGACGATTGACGTCGACGACGGACGAACGACAGCGAGCCAGGACCGACGACCGACGACGACTACTGACGATGAGACTGGTGATGCCGAAGGACGAACAACGCACGACGAACGGAGAACGGTCGGTGATGGCGGCGGCGCGCACGACGGAGCAATGACGACCCACCACCGACGATCGACGATGACGATGACGACGCCCGACGACGACGAAGACTGACGAACGGCGACCGACGATTTACGACCGACGACGCACGGAAACACGATGGTGAAGACGACCGACGACAACGACGACGGTGATCGACGAGCGTCGTAGGAAGAAGAACGAACGTCGACGAAGTAGTACGACTTGGACAAGCGACCGACGACCGAAGGCGACGCCGATCGACAACGACTGACGATGGCGAACTAGGGACGCCGACGACAATCTCATTGGTAACGACGGTGACGAGGACGACGGACGACCTGTGCAAAATCCCTCGCGGGAGCCCTCTTGGTGGCCTATTCGGAGTCTCTTGAGGCCTCCTGGGGGGTATGTTTTGCGGCCTTTGGGGTCCTACTGGGATCCTCTTGGGGGGCCTCTTGGGGGCCTCTTGAGGCCGAGGGCTTGCAATGTCCGTTCGTGTCCCCCGTGAGCCGTCTTGAGGGCCTTGTGGGCCGTCTTGGGGGCCTCCTGGGACGTCCTGGAGCCCTGTCGGGCCGTCTGGGGGCCTGTTGGGGGCCTCTAAGGCCGTCCTTGGGGCGGTCTTGGTGGCCTCGCTCTGGAGCAGTTTCGCAGTGTCGGGGAGCCGAAATGACGAGAACGCCACACAGTCCTTCCCAAACCTTTGTAGAATGGATGAACTCTGCCTCTTGAGGCCCTCTTGGGAGTGGTCTCGGAGGCCGTGCCCCCCAATTCCAGGGGTTGTCCCTGAGACCGTCCCCCCCCCACGTGTTCGAGAGGGGCAGATCAAACAAAATGGGCCCCGGGAGGGGGGGCATTTTGTACACGCCCCCTCCCCCCCCTCCGCCCCTTCAATGGCAATGCCCCTCCGACCCCCCCCCTCAGAGCTCAGCTGAAGCCCCCTGGGGGGGGAATTTAGTGCACGCCCTTTCCCCCCCCCTCCGCCCATTCCCCAGTACAGCCCCCCCAGCAGAGCTGAGCTGAAGCAGCTCAGGCTTTTATATTCACACGCGGGATCGGCGGATCTATGTTGGCTACATGTGCATCAGTAGCGCAGCTCACAGAGCACATTTCAATCACAGTAAGAGTTGTTGGGGGTCCGTGCCACATTCGAACCCTCGCTACTGGAGGCGAGTCTTGTGGTGTGACATGGACCGCCCCCTCATCCTTCCCCTTCCCCTCCCCCCCTCCTCCCCGGCCCCCCCCACAACGCCCACACCCTCACCTCCCCCGTCCCCCTCCTGTCCTCCAGTCTGGCACGAGGCTCACCATTTTGGAAGCGGACCTTGGTCCCAGCTCCCGCAGCTCCGCGCGTTGGCCCGAGGGGCGCGCAGTCACCGAACACCGTTCGTTGGTAGATCTTTGCAGCTAAGCGGGCGACTCTGTCATGGTAACGTAAGGCCTGGGGGGTCGGCGTTGGTCAGCGTGCATGGGATGCTATTCGCATGGGTAGACAACACACCTTTGTACGTCGGGTGTTTCGGTGTGGTAAGTGCCACCTGCATGTCAAACTACACATTCCTAAGAAGAAGGTCGCTTTCGACGAGCCATGAAACTCCTTGCAGCTCACAGTATACGGCGGCAAAGGCGACGAGGCTGAGATGGTAAGCTCAGTTTCCAACAGGGACGTTAAGTCGAGCAGAACATTGGATACATGCTTGTAATGGGGATTTCCAATACTCAGTATGTCAACGTCAAGAACGCCTTCCTGGAGCAGCCTGAGTCTCTGGATAACCTTGTCACAGGGGTGGTGGAGGCTGTCAGGGCCGCTGACGCGGTGAAGGAAGCGGTACGGGGCTTGAAAGGACGCGAACATGTTATGCGACTAAGCAAGCAACAATGTGGTAAGAGCGCGGGAATGAGCTAGCCAAGGAGCTGGCCACCGCAGAGATAGGCAGACATCTAGCTACGACAGCGTTGGCCATCGAGGCGGGTGCAGTTGGTGCGAATCAGCCCACCAATAGTGGCGAGGGTCCCAGTGGAGGACCCCGTGGAGTCTCATGGGACGAAAAGGTTTGCTCCACATAAGACGAGTGCAAACGCGAACCCGCCGAGAAAGAGCAACCCCTCAGTCTCGAGAGGGGCCTGAGGCCAGGCACCCGACATTTTGGCCAGAAGCGGATCGCATAATTATCAAAGAGGTGCGACCAAAACGATTGAAATGAAGACAGGGCCTCTGTCCTCCAAAGGCTCCTTCCAAGTTCCCCCAGATAAACCTCACGGCTCCTTCAGGGCACCGGTGTGATTCAGAGTGTCGGCCCGAGACCACCGCTTCGTTGTCCGCGCAATCATACTTAATTTCTTCAAGTCATCCTGAACCTCGAAACCTATCTTCTAGGAGCAGTTTGATTGTCTTCTGTGTGAGACAGCGATATTCCCACTCAGAACTAGAGGCTCGAAGCTCCTGGTTGGGACTACCGCGAGCTTCACACGGAGATAAGAGTTCTTAGAATCGGGCCCCCACAGGCATCTCTGAACACGAAGGCGGGAACCCGACCCTAGAAACCCAAGTTCCACGGGGCCTCCAGTCATCCCTAAGAAGTCCCAGGCCTCAACCTGCAACGGTGAGTCGACCGCGGCCAACGCCTTGGGGGTGACTCCCCCGCACCGAAACACGGCGTGGCGTCGCCATGCGCGGTGGCTTGAGTAACGTTTTGGTCCGTGCCACTGCGTGCCTGGCGCTTGGCACTGCGCCGACGCAGCCGGCGCCAGTAGCGAGGGGCCTCCGAGCGTCCGCGGCGCCGAGGGCACATTGCATTCAACGAGTCTTGTTTCCTCTTTCCTGGATGGCGCCCAAGAACCTTTGCCGCAAATGCGGATGGGCACATCCGCAAACTGTTTTTTAATCGTTCTTGTTTTTTTGATTCTTTGTTTTTGCATTCTGGCGCTGCCGGAGTGATGCTCTCAACGACCGATTATCTGCCCCCCGTTAGAGACCCTCTCCACAAGGATGCTCTGCCGCCCGGGCAAAACCGTTCCGCGGGTCTTGGGCCTGACCGAGGGACTCAAGCGTTTGTTGTTTTTTGTTTTGTTGTTTGTTGTTGTCGTTGTCGTTGTCGTTGTCGTTGTCGTTGTTGTTGTTGGACATGCCGTCGAAGTTGGCCCAATCATTCGCCCCTGGCACGTGCCAGGCGCGAGGTGCCATGGGCCCGCCGCCCGACTCGGAGTTAGTTCGCCACCGCGGCACTAGGAGTGCCTCTTGTGCGCGGCATACCGATCACTCGCTAACTGTTCGAATTGCTCTACATCGAGAGGCCGCGCCGGTGCCGGCCGGAAGCGAGGTTCATGGACCCAGGTGCAAACTCATTCTTTGCGGGCTAGAGATCGGGGGGCTCAACCTTGGATCGCACCCTGGGCTTCGGATGTCAGGGGAAAAGGCGAGGCGCCGACCACTGTTGGACGCGTCTGCGGTGCCCCAGAACTTCTGCGCACTTGCGTGCCGCAAGTGAGCTCAGATTGCGGCCCAGCCAGCTCCGCGCGCTCAGCGACGATCTGCTTTTCGGAGGCACAGGCGACCCTCGTGGGCTTCTCGTGCTGAGTGCCGCCTTCAATGTCACGCTGCCTCGCGGTAGCACCAGCGAACCTCATCTGCGCTCCGCGGTCCAACCCGAGACGCCGATGCGTCTCGATTTCTTGACGGCCTTCTGGCGACCGAGTGCGACGAGCGATGGGTGGCGCCCTTGGTGGCTAGCTGGAGGCCGTGCGCCTTGAAAGTCGCCGCTGTTGTAGATTCGTTGGCGACGAGCCCGACGCCCGGATGCCCAGCTGCCTCTATGGACTTATGGTGCTCATGCTGAGATCGCCATTCCTAGTGCGCATGAGCTTGGTCGCGCTCGGGTTCAGACCCGCAAGTGTTTGCAATCCGTCTTGCGTCATGCATGCGTCGCGCGAACTTCGCGCTGCTTTGCGACCTCGCTGGAAGCAGTCGGAGTAGGCCCGAAACCAGGAATGAGCATTCGGAATCTGGCATACTTTGCCATGGGGAAATCAGCAGAGCCGAGGGACTCGGTCATACTTGCCACGACGGAGGGCAGTGTCGTTCATACGAAGCCATTGGACTTGGTCGCAGGAGCTTCCAATTTTGAAGATGGATGCGCCAACTGCGCCTCCTACCTTCACTTGAAGCTCGTCGCCTCGGCCGCCCTGGCTACGGCGCCCCCCTTTGCAAGAGTCCCCTGCAAGGGCCCGGGCTCGAGAGGCGGCGCGGGAATTGGCCCGATCGCAATGCCCCTCTTGCTTCCTGAGGCAATGGCCGCCAGATTGCCGACGATGTCTGCCGCGGCCAGGTCGGCGACTGCTCGACGGCCGCACGCAGCTGGCAAAGCTGTGCTACAGCAGCCTGGAAGACGCTCAGAACCAGAGGCCCCAATCGATCGAACCCTGCACCCGCTACGCCCCCCTGGGGGCCCCTCGCGCGTCCCAGTCGGCGAGCGCAGGCGTCTGATTGACTGCGGCGGTCTCGCGTGCTCGACCGGAAAAAGGCCCTGGGGCTCCAACTTATCGAGCTCGTCCGCGCCCCCGCAGCATGCGCCGGCCGTCTGTGGGCAGGCGCGGAGATGCGGCGCGCGCCGCCTGAATTGTAGAGAACCAGCGCGCACCGCTGCATCCGGCATGCAGAGCGGACGCATGCGCCAGCGTCCATCGCGGCAATGGGGGGGCCATTCCAAACGTGGCAGCTCCTATCGCCGAAGCGTTGGTAAAAACCTGCGGCTTCGCAGGTGGAAGCAGCTTTGGCTGCTCCGCGTGCCATCTGTGATCTCGATTATCCATCCGCGCCGCCTGGCGCCACCCGTGGCGCCGCGATGGGGCGACTGCTGGGCTCTCGAAATTCACCCGCGACTGAACGCGGAGTGCGTGCTCGGGCAACTATGTCACGAGTGCGTGGGCAATGTTGAAGCGGTTGCCATTCGGATGGTTGTCGGAGGACTCTTCTGGCGACCGGGGGACTCCTCTGGCCGCCATGTCGACCGTGTCCTTTGGGTTACAGGGCCTCGCGCTCACGTCATCGACCAGCCGCCGCACCGCCTGCGGCGCCTGCCCGCGGGGCTGCTGGGCGGGCTTCAGGGGGGGCCTCTCGGCGACCCATCCTTGGGATCTCTGGGGGGAAGCAAGGGCCGCCCGACCCTCGGCCCTCCTGGAGGCACTTCAGGTAGCTCCTCGAGGCAGACCAAAACCGAGACTTCGAGGGGCTCGGCGCGCCCCAGATAATCCAACCACTGTCTCGAAACAGGCCCCCCCCCCCCTGTTGCAGCGGGTGCCGGATGGGCCCTTTCCAGGAATGTCGCCTTCAAGGGCGCGACGTGCCTGTCATGGATTGGGAACTCGCTCCTTTCCGTCGCTCGTCTGGCGGTGTCTGGCGAGACGACTGATGCGACCGCGCAGCTGGCGCCCGCCATCTTGCGACGTCGTCGGCAAGTGGCCGCGAATGCTGGCGCCCCGCGCGCAGCGCGGGTAAACTTGAGGACGTGGGCCCATGTGCTCTGGATCAGCCAGTAGGGTTCGCGCCTTGACGACGCGGAATGCATCTTTTCTTCCGCGCGCGCCCACGGAGCATGCGCACCGCTGGTAGCGCCAGTGCCCCCCCATGGCGCGCGCCAGTGACGTGCGAATGGCCTCCCAGACTCTTGCCTGGGCATGCGCGGCGAACCCGACGTTGCCCTTCTGTCCCTGCCGCGCCCCCGAAGGAATGCGGGCGGGGGGGGGGTGGGGGGGGGGGTGGGGGCGAGGGTGGGCAGCCCGCCGCGTTGACTCTACCCACTCGGTCGGACTGGAGGGCGGTGGTGCCGGGCGGGGGTCTTTCCCCGCCGGCGCCGCGCACGCGCGCGCGCTGGCTCGTGGGCTCGAGGGGGGATCTGCGGATCATCGGGCTCCGAGATTGAGGAGGTTTTCCCAACCCTCGCCCGCTGCTGGACTCTGGGTGGGCCCCCGGCCCCGGGCAGGTCCCGTGTCCTGGCCATCTCTGTTCCAGACGTCCCCGAACAATCGCGCGCGCATCTCGGAGCACGGGCATCCTGCTCGGTCAGCGCGCTTAGCCGGTAATGGGCTCGGGCGGGGGACCTGCGGAAGCCCGCGACAAACGCGCAGTGCTCGAGCGCGAAGCTGAGCCCCCGCACTGCTGAAAGACAAGCTGATGCCGCAGTGTGTTCCCCGGGGGCGTCCAACGCTGGGTCCAGTCGCCCTGTGTAAAGGCGAACCGCTATGATGCCAACGTCGAAGTTGATGCGGGGCAGTCTCGCGCTTTCGGCGCAAGTGTTCCAGACTCCAGTTCGAACCCAGAAGCAAAACCACTTCCGTGGACTCGTTCGATGAATCAGCTCCTGGCAAGAAGTATGGAACTGACGTTGAACTCTGCCCGCGGTAACCCTAGGACATGCGGAGAAACCGCGACCGCGCCAATTATGGCGTTTCTCTGGGCGGTCTCTCCACCACTTCCACAGGGCCAGATGCTTCAATCGGCTATGACCACTGCAAGGCTTCCCTCCGAACCGTAGAGTGAAGGTGAGAGAACCGTCGGAATCCTCGCGCTTGGCAGAAAACTTGACATTCACTCGGGTCCACAAACTCCACTCCCAAGCAGGGGGGGCAAGGCAACCTACATTGCCAATGAGGGGAAACGTCAAACTTGCGTGCCTCATCCTGAGGGCGTTCTTCGCCCCATTCGGCGGCGGCATTTCCCTTGCCAGACGAAGTCGTCGAAATTGTGCTCGGGCGTGTTGTCTCGCTCCCCCGTCGGTTGTGGGGCGGGTGTCGGCGGGGGTGGGTCGAGGGCTCGCTTGCCGCGATCTTCTTGCAATCGGTGCATGTTCACTTGTGCAGGAAGTGTGGCACTTGCGGCAAGGGCCAGGGCATGTCCCTGGCAACAAACAAATCTTGCCACGCCGATATGATTCCGCATCGCATGGCGGGAATATGCTGATCGGTTTTGGTATCCATACTGTTGCTTCGCCAGTCATGATTATTGATTCCCCCCATCCCTATCCCATTCCTGCTTCCCTATCCCGGCTGTCTTAGGGCTGCCCGTGTGAAGCCCATATTCAAAGGACAGACATGCGGTAGAAGGACGGGGAATGGAAACAGAAGAGTAGAGAGAGAGAGAGAGAGAGAGACCGAGACTGAGACTGATACTGGAAACCAGAAAGAGAGAGAGAGAGAGAGAGAGAGAGAGAGAGAGAGAGAGAGAGAGAGAGAAAGAGAGAGAGAGAACGAGAGATAGAAACATATAGCGAGAAATATATTTATATATATATAGAGAGATATCTGGAAGGATAAAGACAGAGTGCAATACATACATATATATATAGCGAGATACATCGATACATATATATATATATAGAGTGCGACAGAGAGAGAGAGAGAGGCAGACAAAGAGCGAGAAAGGGAAGTTGAGACAGAGAGAGAGAGAGATGGTCATACATAAAGAGAGAAGGACATCCCCTGCGTTTCCCCCGACCAACATCATCCGTTTTTGTTTTGCTTCCTCCCTTCGTGCCTTCCTGCCTTTCTTCCGTCGATTCCACCTCCTTCTGTTTCCGACGACGCCGACCGCCTCCAGAGGCATCAAGATTATCACGAATGCCGAGGCATTTCTTGGGATCCTGATTGGTCATTTTATCCGTTGACGACGACGCCGACCACCACCACCACCACAATCACCACCGCCACTGCGACGACGAATGCCGCACAGGAGCGAGTCAGCAACGAGGGGCTCTTGGACGCGGTCACCGGTCTTTCTGGCTCAGGCACGCCGCCCCTCTGGTCACTCACCTGGCCTTCCGTCGTCCTGCGTTTCCTCCTCCCGGTCGTCGTCCTCCTCTTCTTCCGCCTCTTCCTTCTCCTCTCCCTCCTCTTCTTCCTCCTCCTCTTCCTCCTCCTCCCCCTCCGCCGCCGCCGCCGCCTCCGCCTCTTCCTCCTCCTCGTCGTCCTCCTCCTCCTCCTCCTCCTCTTTCCTCTTTTCCCTGTTTTGTTCCTCGTCCACGCTTTCAGCCCTATCCCCTGTCCCTCGTCCTTCCCCTGCCCGAGAAGTTAATCCTCTCCCTTCCTTTTTCTTCCCTTCGTCGCCAGTGGTGCGGCCTCCTCTCCCCCTCCTGCTCATGGGCGACGTGGCAGGGGCAGGTGTTCGTAGTGCTTCTCAATACTCGGACTGAGATGCTTGCACTGTTGACAGCTCAGTATCAGTATTTGTCTTCCGCCTCGTAACAGCTCTTTTTCGAGTCCGTCTTTCGGCGAGGATCGTAACGACGCCTCGTCTCCGTCGTCGGCATCGGCGTCGGCTTCGGCGTCGAGTCGTCGTCGTGGTCGTGATGCGGTTTGCTCTGGTTCGGCCTTGTTGCTTCAGGAAGCGGAGAGCTCGTATCACCAGGATACTCGAGCAGTACAGAGATCTACGAGCTATCACCGCTGCCAAGACGAGACGAAAAAAGGACCATGATCACACGAATGACGGACGCCAGAGACCGCTCCAGAACATCACGGAAAGGCATTGCTGACGTTGTGCTGCATTGGACGAGGAATTGTACGATTCTTCCAACACGTCGTCAGCACCTGGATTATCGGATGCTCCCGTACCTCGCATCACCGCGGTGGAACTGAATACGGCCATTTCTGACCTCAAGCGTGGCAGGGCCTACGATGAGATGGGGATTACGGCCCACGGCGGAGATGTTGAAGGACGGGTCCGAGGAGCTCATTGACGCATTGCTTCTCCTGCAACAACAAGGTGATCCTCCCTGACGGGGAAATTCCAGAGAGTTGGAAAAAGATTGTCATTTCTGTGATACCAAAGGCTGGAGATCTCACTGTGCCTCAAACTTACCGGCCGATATGTTCTATACCTTTGTTGTACAAGCTTTTCAGTAGACTCTTATATAATCGACTCCAGCCTGTTCTTGATCAGCATCAGCCCCACGACCAGGCCGGCTTTCGACCAGGACATTCTACTACTGACCACCTCTTTACTTTCCACATGGTTCGCGAGCGGGCCCGGGAGTGGAGCCAACCGTTATGGATCGCCGCGCTCGACTTCAAAAAGGCGTTCGACTCCATCGAACACGACATTCTGTGGTCCGCTTTGCGCGAACAAGGTGTCGAGCCTGGCTACATACACCTCATGCAACGTCTCTACCATGGCCAGGAGGCCATAGTGCGCACTGGTGTCACCAGCCGTTCTTCCAACCTCCATCGTGGCACGAAGCAGGGTGATCCTTCGAGCTCATTGTTGTTCAACGCCGTCCTTCAGCACATCATGGCGCCACTGATCCAAAAATGGCGAAAGAAACGGATGGGCATACAGCTTGGCACGACGGCGATTTCCATCTTGACCAACCTACGTTTCGCTGATGATGTTCTTCTGACCGCCCAGACGCTCCCGCACCTCCACAGCAAGCTGACGGACATCGTTCAAGCTGCCCGCCCTCACGGGCTAGAGCTGCACTCCGCGAAGACCAAAATCATGAGCAACGTAACGCGGCGCGCTGGAAGAGCCAAGGTTTCAAAGTTGGACGTCTGTGATATGGATGTTTCTATTTTACCGCATGCGGGATCGCTCAAATACTTTGGACAGACCATCAGCTTCAGCGTCACAACACAGATAGAGGTACATAATCACATTAAGGCCGCGTGGGCTGCCTTCACTGAGCACAAGCAGGAACTCACAAGCACGCGCTACCCATGACGGCACCGGCTTCGGCTCTTCGACGGCGTCGTTACACCGACCGTCCTTTACGCCTCTGCGACGTGGACAGTCACGACGGCGACCCGCCAGCAGCTGCAGAGAACTCAACGACGCATGCCCTGCATGATCGTGAACGCCCCGAGCAAGAACTCAACGCTAACACGCACCTCCGAAGACGTAGCCTCCGTGAACCAGCACCTGCGATCCCCAGCGGACGCGACTACACACATGCCGACGAGCAGCGCGACCTCCACGTCACACGACAGCGATTTGGACGTCAACCTCCCTATGCCTGCCGACCCCCACGCACACGAGACCTCTGCCGACGACGACTCCGACGCCGCCGCCGATTTCCGCACCGATTCGGATCCGGCGGGCCCATCGCCGTGCAAAATACTTTGTTCTACGACACCGGAGCCAGTGCTGGATCACGTCCCAAAGGCACTCTATGTGGAAGTATGCCCTTCGAGTGGTCAATCACGCACCTTTGCGCTGGACGCCACTGGCTTTACATTGGTATCCTGGAGCGTATCCACCCCGACAAGGGCACCAGAACCATGGACGTCAGCCTAAGCGGTGGGACGACGATCCCCGGACATTCTTGCATGCACACCGCACCGACGCACTACCACAAGGAAGCGGTATTGGAAAGCGCCACGGGGATTCCGACGACCTGACTTGGACAACGTATGCCGCTGACAACCCGGACGAGTGGCACTCTCTGATGGATGATTTTTGCAAGAGTTGAGGGCCATGGCCCCTCGCGCCCCGCCCCGAGTGGGCCTGGTCCTCTGGACCGCAAGGCGTCTCGCCCGCTCGCTCGGCCTTGTTGCTTCACTCACTCACTGCTCTCTACCCTCCGCCTGGCGTTTTCCCGAGCTTGCCACCACCAGGTAGGCTCTTCTCAAAGCGCTCATCCCTGCTGCAAGGGTTCGGTGCTGACGGACCTATCGCTGGGTGGCCCGCGTTCAGTTCATACGCTTTTAAGCATATATGACACGCCAGCGTTGCGGATCCTGGCGGCGGAGACAGAGGGATAGAGATAAAGAAAGAGGGAGAAAGAGAGAGAGAGAGAGAGAGAGAGAGAGAATAATATAGTCAGATATACAGAGGCATAGAGAGATATCGAGAAACAACACATTGAGAGAGGGAGAGATAGACAGAGAGACGGAGAGACAAACAAACATTAGCCTGGCGAGAGACCCAACCATATGCAGTTGTGAGTACCGCAGTTGTGAATATTTTCTTCGGTGGCGCTCCCTATGGGGCCACGAAGCGCTGTGCTGTGTGGGTGAAACGCAGGGAGCAAGGGCCGTGTTGGGTGGTGGCGGACGCATGCGGGCGGTGCCACTGGGACCTTCCGTGGGGCTCCCTATGGGGCCACGAAGCGTTGTACTGGGGGGTCGAAACGCAGGGAGCAAGGGCTGTCTTGGGTGGTGGCGAACGTATCCGGGCGGTGTCACTGGAACCTTCGGTGGAGCCCCTTATGGGGCCACGCAGCGTTGTACTGGGTAGGCGAAACGCAAGGAACAAGGGCCGTGTTGGGTGGTGGCGGACGCATGCGGGCGGTGCCACTGGGACCTTCCGTGGCGCCTCCTTATGGGGGCACGAAGCGCTGTACTGGGTGGGCGGAGCGAAGGGGGCAATGGCTGTACTGGGTGGTGGCGGACGCATGCGGGCGGTGCCACTGGAACCCTCGGTGGAGCTTCCTATGGGGCCAACGAAGCGCTGTACTAGGTGGGTGAAACGCAGGGAGCAAGGGCTGTGCTGGGTGGTGGCGGACGCATGCGGGCGGTGCCACTGGAACCTTCGGTGGAGCCCCCTTATGGGGCCACGAAGCGCTGTACTGGGTGGGTGAAACGCAGGGAGCAAGGGCCGTGTTGGGTGGTGGCGGACGCATGCGGGCGGTGCCACTGG